TCAAATTGAACTTCAAACAACAACATTCATGTTTCACCTATGACCCTAGAACAATGGGTTTTACCTACTCATGCTAGTGTTCATCACAAATAGCAAAAACCAAGAGAAGAAAAGAAGAACTTGACGGTCAAATCTCCTCCTTGCCTCTTGTTTCTCTATTTCTTGCACTAGACTATGAAAAACCTCCTCCCTCTTCCTTGGGCGAGCTTGAATTTATATAGGTTAAGTGAGTTTTCCTCCAGATTTCCAATTCTGCCCCTAAATAACTCTTCCCGGATTTTGGACTAGCGCAACCGCGCACCTGGACGCGCTAATTGGCTGAGGTTCTGTCATCGCGCTAAAAGTAGCGCGGTCGCGCATGTCCAGTTTTGTGTTTCATCACTTCTGTTCCTCGTCTTCAAGCGTACTCAGCTCTGAAGGGTCTTTCTTGCTCCAAAATGGTTCCAACCACAACTGTTTAAGGCATCACCTAGGCTCCTCATCCTACAATATATACAATTCATAATTAGAGCCTATTTTTCATCAATTAACCATATTATGATATTGGAATATAATCAAATGGGAGCATAAACAATCGCCAAATTACCTAGATTTAACCTATTATCACAAGCCCCACACTTACTTCATTGCTAGTCCTCGAGCAATCAAACTATACATTCTAAAGGTTCCTTCACTCAACCATTTCCCCTAACGCCCTACACCCAGAACAATTTACATACATTACGCCTAGCAATGAACAATCCTAGCCTCAAAAGTCGACTCTTCAAGTGCCATGCAATATTCATACTTCCTCAACGTACTCTACACAGAAGTCAAGACTTGCTTTTCCGTCACGAATCATATGCCCTCACAATCACATCAACGAAAATTGAATTCAATCTACACATTCGCATCATATGCTCACATATATCCAAGAAATCACTCACCCTCACAAAAGAAGTCACATGCATGCAATTGGTACCATAAGCTTGCCCTTAATGTAAATCTCTACTAATGTAGGCTTACTCGACCCAAAATCAATTAGGACTTTTCCTGGTTGTAATGTGGGCTAAGGGACGGGTAGAATATATTTCGGAATATGGACTAGCCCTCCTAAGCACTTTAACACATCACATGAGCAACTTTAGCGCAATTTCTTCAACCCACTTCACTTCCATAAACAATATCACCCTACAAATACTCCCTTCTTCTTTAATCACTATATTAATTCATATCCATTAGCTGGAACATGACACAATATATTCCTCTCTCTCTTTTTTCCAGTTTATTCTTCTTTTCACTCAATTTCCGCTAGTGGTGTATTAGTTTACAAAACAAATGCACCTTTCTTCATTTTATTGGTTCCACCAAAAGCCACCCCATACTTAGTTCCTTCTTACTTCTTTTAGCGCTCATCTCACAATTAAAGTGCTTTAAGAGGTAAAAGGATCAAAACAATGTCAATTAAGAACAAAAAGGGTATAGGCTCGTAATGCGGGTGTCAAACAAAAGTCCATAGGCTCAAAAGGGTTAACTAGGGACAAATTTTATTTGTGACAAGCAATTAAGCTCAAAAAGATCAAAGAAAGCCTAAAATCATTTTTCAAACCGAGCATCACCTAAAATTCCGCTTCAACTCACATACCGGGCAAGTTCTAGACACAAGTACAATACATGGACTACACAAAAACCTCACCACACATGGCATAAGACTCATTCCAGATCAGCTCATCAAGACGCTCCGTTACGAGCATTCAATTCAGCAACAAACATACAAATTAAGGCACTTTAGTTAAATTCAACAAATAAGACTAAGCGTTAGACTCTAGGGTCTATTGTGTTTAGGTGTGTCAACGCTATGGGTTCTCTTTTAATTCTCTAGTTTGTAGCCCATTAACCTAATCTACAAAATAAAAAGAAAACTACCTATACCCGGTTCAAGTTAAACCCTTGGAAAAGAACTGTGGCCTAAAGAAAAATCAAGGGGGAGTTGCTACACTATCTAAGAAAAAAAAAATCTTTTTGGTGTTTTCTCTAGACTAACTTCCCTCAAGAAAATTGTCTACAAGATCCGTCATCAGGAGGAGTCTACGTATTTGCCCCTTTTGTTTTCTCGACTCAGTCCCTCAAGAACCCCGTCGACAGGGATCCATCATCGGGACGAGCCATATAACTAATTTAAACCAACGATTCCTACTTAACAACATCAAAATTATCAAAGCAAAATGAAACAAAACAAAACCAACAGTCAATTGATACAATCACATACATACAATGAAGGAATCCCCACCCCACATTTAAAAATGAAGACATGTCCCCATGGCTTAAAATTTGAAAGAGCAGTGAGGTAAAGGAACTTCCCCGAAGGCTCCCTCCTGGTCGGAGACGGTGTCTGGGTTGACGTGGCACGCACGACCCAGAGCTCGCAACTAGCCCATGAATTTATTTTCCGACTTCACTTGTCGGTCAGCTACCGCGTCTACTTGAGTGCCCAAATCTGTCATGGAGGTTCGCAAACCAGCCATCTCCGCCTCCATCGCAGTAAAACAGGACACCCGGGCAACTCCTGAAGATGTTGCCATCCAAGATGGTCCTGCTGCTACCACATTTTGCTCTTGAGCCTGCGGTGCTGTCCCCATGTTCTCCTCAGCATCCTCTCCGTCATGAGAATCATCAGAGCTACTACTCGCAGACCGGCCACCTCTCGCCTCCTTCTCTACTACTCCCGGCTCCTTGCCCGTGGTCACATTATCAGCACGAAATTGGCCTTCCCTTTTCACCAACCCATCCACAGCTAGATTTTCGGGCACCTGAGCATCCCTGCATAGTTGAGTAACTAAAGAAGGGAAAAAGAACCCATACCTTTTGACTTGGTTACGGACGAATATCTCTTCATGCATCACTTTGGCCACGTTAAAGTCATGACCATTTACAAAGCACCAAATCAACGCAGCGCGAGACCCATTGACCTCTGTAGTATTGTGAGACGGAATCAAGCGGTTGTTTATGAGGTACAACCAACACTTCCCTTCAAAGGTGAGTGCTGAGGAGTGAAACTTCTCCCCATAGTTCATCTAGACCACTTCTTTCCCGGGTGCACAAATTGTCTCAAAGAATCGTGCCCATTTTTCGTTCGTTGGGTTGCGGTCGTATTCATAGAAGTCATCATAACCAACCGGAGGTAGAGGCAGCTGGTAGGCCATCTGTATCGCCTCAACAGAAGCACTCACTGCCCTTCGGCGCACCATGGCTACTCCATTATCATGCTCCGCCACATTCGCATAAAATTCCCGCACAACCATTGCATTGCCTTCACCGGGCTCATTGATGAATGTGTGCAACCCCCGCCTCACCAACTCCTCGTACATGTGAGGGCAGTGTCTTTGGAGCTGTCTGACGTTAATACCTCTCTCCAGAATTGGCATTTTACGAGCCTTTTCCCCAAAATGGGCCTGAGCATTGGCTGAAACAAATTTGGAACTATCAAAGGAGCGTGCAGGTGCAGCCCCTCATGACCTAGATGAACCAGCTTGGCTGCTCGACGAAGCCTTTGTGGCGCGTCATTTCCTAGATGGAGTCATGATGCCTGCAAAACGGAGACACATTAGCACAGCAATACAGAAATTTTGTGACTCAATGCGGTTACTCAGACTTCACACGCATAAGGGGTCACAAACTATATAATAATGATCATTGGGACCTTTCCACAAACACCTTGTGGGCATTAGCCTTCACAACCCCTTTTTAAACTTTTTAGAACAAGAATCACCCACTAACACTCACCAACATTACATATCAAGTGGGATTCCACCCTACACTTATCATCCACCAACACTACAATATTTTGCACCAATTTCTCTACACAATCTAAGTACAACTACTACAACATAGGCATAAGAATACAACCAAAAAATCTGAAAAAATAGAGAGAGAAATAAAAAAAGAAGAAAGAAACTAGGGCTCATACCTGTGGTGAAGGAGAATGGGGAAGATGCTAGTGAACTGGGGGGGTCGTGAGATGGGGGACGGGTGGGTTTGGGATTTGGGAGTGTTTGGAGGAAGGTTTTGTTTGTGTTTGAGTTGGAATGAGGGAGGGGTTTTCTTTTGTTGAATGGAGGGTTCAGGTACCGGGGGAGGGGGGCGTTTATTAGATGGGGAAAGGGGTAATTGAGTCTAAACAATAAACAAACAAAAAAAACAAAAAACTGAAAATACACTTGAAAACACCGGATTTGTTTTACGGAACTAGCGCGCCCAGATGCGCGAGCGCACTAGATTTAGCGCGTCCAATACAGAACCCAAGAGCTACTAGTGCGCACAGATGCGCATCCAGTAGCGCGGTCGCGCTAGTAGCGCGTTCAATAGCATGATCAGGTGTGCGGCCAAGGTAGAAACTTTGCAGTTTAGCGTGCCCAGTATCACGCACCTGGGCAATTTTTTTCTTCAACTTTTCACCTATTCTTACCCCGTTCGATGGCCTTAGCACCTGCCCTTTGTCACCTGCATTGGTTAGCTCTTCCTAAAACACAAAATTAACACTACTATCGTTGGGTTGCCTCCCAACCATCGCCTTATTTAACGCCGTGGCACGACGGTTACAACAATTCAATGGGTTGTCTCCCATCTAGCGTCTGATTTAACGTCGCGGCACGACTCAACACATTCTCAAGCATCCGTCAAGTTCACCGAGGTCTTGTGACGTGCAAAGTCACCACCCCAGTAATGTTTTATCCTTTGACCATTCACCAAGAAAATACCAGTTGAGCTCATATCCCGCAACTCCACAGCTCCATGAGGCTTCACACTTACCACAACAAAAGGGTCTGACCAACGAGATTTAAGCTTTCCTGGGAAAAACTTCAACCTTGAATTGAACAAAAGAACTTCTTGCCGTGGCTCAAACTCTCGATGTTGGATGTGCTTGTCATGCCACCTCTTAGTCTTCTCTTTATACAATTTGGCATTTTCATATGCGTGCAAACGAAACTCATCAAGCTCGTTGAGTTGCAACAACCTCTTCTCGCCAGTCAAGTCCCCATCCGTATTCAGCCTTTTAATTGCCCAATAGGCCTTGTGTTCAAGTTCGACGGGCAAGTGACATGCCTTCCCATAAACTTCCCATAAACTAACTTATACGGAGAAGTACCTATGGGATTTTTGTATGCAGTTCGATATGCCCACAATGCGTCTTCTAACTTCCTTGCCCAGTCTTTTCTATTTGCACTCACTGTTTTCTTAAGAATCCGCTTTACCTCTCTATTTGACACTTCCACTTGACCGCTCGTCTGGGGGTGATAGGCAGTGGAAACTTTGTGCTTGACTCCGTACTTTGCAAGAACATTATTCAGCAGTTTGTTGCAGAAATGCGTTCCTCCATCACTGATCAACACTTTGGGAGTTCCAAAGCGTGTGAAGATGTGCTTCTTAACAAAGCTTACCACAACCTTTGCATCATTAGTGGGAAGAGCAATGGCCTCCACCTACTTAGAGACATAATCGACTGCCACCAAGATGTACCTATGACCATTGGAGTATGGAAACGGTCATGAAGTCAATTCCCCAAACATCAAAAAGCTCCACTACCAGAATGTTTTGCAGTGGCATCTCGTGCTTCTTTGTGATCGTTCCGGTTCTTTGGCACCTGTCACACATTTTAACAAAGGCGTGTGCATCCCTAAATAATTTTGGCCAATAGAAACCTGATTGTAGCACTTTCTGGGCGGTCATGTCTCCACCATGATGACCTCCGTATGGTGAGGTGTGACCGCTATGAAGTATGGCATTCATCTCTTCCTCAGGAACACATCTTTGCACCAACTGATCTGCACAGAGCCTGTATAAGAATGGCTCATCCCACATATAAAGCCTCACATCATGCAGGAACCTTCTTCTATTATCGGGTGTTAATTCTGGTGGTGTCACCCCACTTGCAATAAAGTTCACATAATCTGCATACCACAGGGCTGTGCTTGAGGTGATTGCCAATAACTGCTCATCAGGGAATGTTTCTTTGATTGCACCCCCTTCAGCTACATGGTTCCGATTTTCTAATCTGGACAAGTGATCAGCCACTTGATTCTCTATTCCTTTGCGATCTCGGATCTCTAGGTTAAACTCTTGCAAGAGGAGGACCCACCAAATCAGTCTCGGCTTGGCGTCTTTCTTATTAAATAGGTATCTGATAGCTGAATGATCTGTGTAGACGATGACTTTGGTCCCCACTAGATATGACCTGAACTTGTCAAACGCCCACACCACGGCAAGCAACTCTTTTTTAGTGACTGTGTAGTTTATCTGAGCTGGATTCAGAGTTTTGCTCGCATAGTAGATGGAATGGAAGATTTTATTTCTCCTTTGCCCCAAAACAGCTCCAATAGCCAAGTCACTCGCATCGCACATCAACTCAAATGGCTGCTCCCAATCCGGAGCAATTATGATTGGTGCAGTCACCAACCTTCCTTTCAGCTCCTCAAATGCCTTCAGACAGACAACATCAAATTTGAAGGCGACATCCTTCTCAAGAAACTTGCACAAGGGAGAGGAAATTTTTGAGAAATCTTTAATGAAACGACGATAAAAACCTACATGGCCCAAGAAACTGTGAATGCCTTTGACAGATATCGGTGGGGGCAATTTTTCAATTGCTTCCACCTTTGCCTTGTCCACCTGCAAACCATCTTTGGATACCTTGCGCCCCAAAACTATACCTTCACGTACCATGAAATGGCACTTTTCCCAGTTTAGCACCAAGTTAGTTTCTTCACACCTAGCAAGTACTTTATCAAGGTTCATCAAGCAGTTATCAAAATAACATCCAAACACAGAAAAATCATCCATGAACACTTCCACAAACCTCTCAACCATGTCAATAAAAATGGCCATCATACACCTTTGAAAAGTCGTAGGTGTATTACAAAGACCGAAGGGCATTCTCTTGAACGCATATGTGCCATAAGGACACGTAAATATGGTCTTCTCTTGGTTCTTTGGGGCTATAGCAATCTGATTATACCCTGAGTAACCATCTAAGAAGCAGTAGTACTCCTGGCCAGCTAATCTATCAAGCATTTGGTCAATAAAGGGGAGGGGAAAATGGTCCTTCCAGGTGGCATTGTTCAATTTTCTATAATCAATGCAAATTCTCCACCCGGTGACAGTTCTTGTAGAGATTAAATCATTATTCTCATTAACTACTACAGTCATCCCCCCTTTCCTGGGTACACATTGAACTGGGCTTACCCATTTGCTGTCTGAGATAGGAAATACAATACATGCATCAAGCCACTTAATCACTTCTTTTCTTACAACCTCTTTCATAATTGGATTGAGTCGGCATTGTTGCTCTACACTGGGCTTGTGTCCGTCCTCCATGAGGATTTTGTGCATGCAAAAGGCTGGGATAATGCCCTTAATGTCAGACATCGTCCACCCAAATGCTCGCTTGAGCTCATGTAGCACTCTCAACAGCTTTTCTTCCTGCAATTTAAACAAGTCAGAAGAAATAATAATGGGTAAAGTGTCAGAGTCACCCAAATAAGCATATTATAGGTGAGGTGGAAGAGGTTTAAGCTCCAATTTTGGGGCTTCCTCAATTGACGGCTTTGGAGGAGGTCCCTCTGGATTATTCAAAGGCTCAAAGGGGTGTATCCCTTGTATGTACGCACAAGATGTATCTAGGATGTGCATCATCTCCTCAGCCTCCTCGTCAGCCCCCAGGCTATCAAGCAACATAAGTGCTTTATCTAGAGAATCGTCTAGATATACACTCGAATAATGAATCTGCTCATCAGCCTCAACAACAGATATCATTGAGAGCTCCTCATAGTGGCGGGGAAGTTGGATTGTTTTGTAGACATTAAAAACTGCTTCCTCATCATCTACCCTCAAAATCATCTTTCCCTCTCTCACTTTGATAATTGCATCACCAGTAGCTAAGAAAGGTCGCCCCAATATGATTGGAACCAGTTCATCAGCCTCATAATCGAGGATAATGAAATCAGCAGGGAAGATGAATTTCCCAATCTGCAGCAACACATCTTCAATCACCCCTTCAGGGTAAGCTATCGATCTATCAGCCAGCTGCAACGTCACAGTAGTGGGCCTTGGAGCTCCCAGGCCCAATTGTTTGAACAAAGACAAGGGCATCAGATTTATGCTCGCCCCCAAATCGCAAAGAGCATGACCCACATCAATATTACCAATGCGCACATGAATCGTGAAGCTTCCAGGATCCTTAAGCTTTTGAGGGAGCTTATTTTGGACCCTTGAAGTGCACTCCTCAGTAAGTGCCACTGTCTCAAATTCAGTTAATCTTCTCTTGTGAGCCACTATATCTTTTATGTACTTAACATACTTTGGAATTTCACGAAGCACATCAACAAGTGGTATATTCAATTGAACCTGGCTCAATATAGAGAAAAATTTTGTGAACATGCGATCATCATTTTTTTTCTGCAATCTCCGGAGGAAAGGTGGTGGTGGCCTTGGGGCCTCCACTGGCTCTGTAATTTCAGCAACATTCTTTGGCTCGTGAGTCACTTTGGGGATCAACTCTCCCTCAGGTATGGGCTTGTCTTTCTTTTTCTTTGGCACTTCCTCTAGCTCCCTCCCATTTCTAAGTGTAATTGCATTCACTTGAGGGTTCTTTTCTATATCACTGGGGAGAGCGCCTGCAAGTCTAGTGTTTTGATTTGTTGCTAACTGCCCCATTTGCCTCTCAAGATTTTTGAAGTCGGTCTTGAGTTGCTGATTGTCAATCAACAACTTCTTTAGCAAATCATTGGTACTTTCTTCCATTTGTTGGGGTGATCTCTGAGGCTGATTAAACTCCCCTAGGGTCTATGCTGATTCTAATTCTGCTGATTTCCACCCCATGAGAAGTTGGGATGATTCCTTCAATTTGGATTGTAAGAATTCCCGTATTGTGCATGCTGATTCGGTGGACCTCTATTTTGTTGCCCCACATAATAGATGGATTCTGGATTTTTGGGGCACTTATCACTCATATGACTGTCGCCATAGAGTTCGCAGTAAATAGTCCTTTGTTGTACATGTTGCATTGTCTGTGGCTGCTGCATTGTCATCCTAGTCATCTGATTGGCCGACTTTGAAATATCGGCTCTCATGGTTGATACTTCGTTGAGCTCAAGTAACCCAACTGATTTTTGCTTAACTGCCTTTCGTGAATACCATCACCTTGCCAGTTATTATCATTAGCAGTGAAGTTATTCAGCAAGATTTGGATTTCACT